TACCCCTGGGCTAGAAAATTTTACTACTAGCAGACACACAAAAGTGGGCGGTAGGTATAAAAAGGTTGACTACCCCTGGGCTAGAAAATTTTACTACTAGCAGACACACAAAAGTGGGCGGTAGGTATAAAAAGGTTGACTACCCCTGGGCTAGAAAATTTTACTACTAGCAGACACACAAAAGTGGGCGGTGGGTATAAAAAGGTTGACTACCCCTGGGCTAGAAAATTTTACTACTAACAGAGATACAAAAGTGGGCGGTAGGTATAAAAAGCTTGACTACCCCTGGGCTAGAACTTGAGGTTTGTCATCTGAAATCATGTTTAAAGACTTCAGTTAGAAAATCAAAGCATCAGATTCTTATAATACCAAAGAATAAAATGCTTGAGACAATGAACTACTACTATTACACGCTAGTGAAGGAAGCCTTTGTTTTTATAATTGTATAATTGTGTTACTGGCGTGCAACCTACCTTGGCATATTTATGAGGTACTGGTCCTTTCCAAGACAACATTTCTTCTTCGGTTTCAATCTCTATTTTATTAAAGGTTTATGATGATGATTTTTCAAATAAGTCCTACCCTTTAATTTTAATGTAGATGCTAACATTTTAACAGCACCTTTGACCCCTAGATTGCATCTTCTTGTTCTGCCTATTGGACATCCAGCTCAAGCTGAATTTATTGAAAGTCATCAAATTTAGATGTACTGTAGGAATTTGAAAAACCAATTTAAGAATTGGATTGTTACTGCTCCAAACTATATGCTTCTGGGCAGTTTGAAAGTAAAGCTTCAGAAACTAGAAGGAGTTCAGTGTGTCCCAGATATGGCGTTTCAGAAAAAGTTATCCAGAATATTCCAACCTCATGTGAGTTTTGTATATTGCTACAGTATTCAGATACTATCAAGCATTAATGTACTTGTTTTAATACAAAACAAAATCCAGCCTCTAAATGTTGGGAAAGCTTCCAATATGATTTCTTGGAAATTTTGGGGTATTATGATATATTCAACCTCTAAATAATAAGTAATTATTAAAGATGTGCCTTCTCCTTAGGTTAAATGTATGTCATAGTATGTCAAAAATATTCCGTCCCCTTATTTTTTTACATTTGGCTTTAGATTCTCTTCCCTACATTATTAAGAAGTCTGAAAACAATACAATGTTTATAGTGAAAAGCAAGCATGTTCTATTACATGGGAACAGTTTTGCCAAGTATGGGCATCTATGCCTACATAGGGATCACTTTCAATTTTTAGTTTAATATTATTGCAACTTGAATGGAAAACAGTGGGTTTTCCATTCATACAGTCACATTCCATTCAATTTCCATATAATTTTAGTTCTTCCCATTAGATAATTCATTTACTGGATACATCTGTTTTCTGGTTCAATTAAGTTTTTCATAATAAGTACTATACTTTAATTCAAATCTGCTGAAGTTCATCACTCTTTTAGGGATGAATTTGCAACTGTGAATCAATATTCTCAAGGTCTTTCTTTCAGAGGTAAATATTCTAAATAATCAGCCGATTTAATATTACCATTAATCAAAGTAATAAAAGGCTTAAAATAAAAACTTGAGCATTCAATGAATTTTTGCACCTACCTGCAGAGCTTGCTTGTGCCCCAAATGCAAATGTTGTTTTTATTTGTTGTTCAGCTGGTTTCTCAGTAGGTTTTGCCAAGCCGAAATTAAACGCAGGTTTTACTGTGCCATCTTTGGTTTGTTCTGCCTTCCCAAATGAAAACATGGATTGTGCCTTTGACTCTTCGCTTTCTGCTTTCTTTCCAAACACTAGTGGAGTAGAAGAGGCACCCACCTCCTGCTTTTCATCTGTCCTTCCCAAAGTACGTGGTGGGGCATTCACAGGGTCTATATTACCAAAAGTAAAGCCACCTTTTGCTGAAGGTGTTTCCTTTTTCTCCTCTGATTTCTTAGAGGAAAAGGGACTTTCTGCAATTTCCTTCTCCTGTAAATTTCCAAATTTGAAAGTACTTATTCCAGTTTTTTTATCAGATGCAGTTGTGGCTCCTATAGAACTTGTGCCAAAAGTGAAACCTCCTATAACTGGCTTGTTAGGTCCATCTTTCTTCTCTTGTTGCCCAAGGTTAGCTATTCCAAATTGAAACGATGCAGATGATGAACTGCTAGCTCCAGCAGGAAGTCCAAAACTGAAAGTGGTGGTGTTCTTTCCTTCTTTCACGCTTTCCTCAGATTTAGACTCTGAGGAAAAGCTTCCTGGATTGGAGCCTTCATTTTTAGAAAATTTAAAGCCTCCTGAAGAACCCATATCTGATGTAGTACCAAATTTGAATCCTGTTTGTTCTCCAAATTTGAAGTTTTTTCCTGCAGTCTGGGATAATTCTGATGATGATGATGGTGATGACTGAATACCAAATTTAAATGAAGGACCAGATGGCTCTGAAGTAGCTGTATTAAAACCTGCAATTAAATGGAATTTTAATATAATACATTTCAAGTTTTAATATAGTCTTGAACAATCTGGTGTATTTTAAGGGCAAAGATAATCCTTGCTTACCAACCACTCATTCAATTATCAGTTGAAGTTATGATGGTGCTGAAAAGTGTTTTATGACTGGTCCACAAACATCTAGGCTTTACAGCAGTGGTCCCAAACCTTTGCAGCTTGGAGACCTGGATTGGGAAGTGGGGGTGGGGGACCAGCCCGCGAGAGTGGCAGCCTTGTTCTGAATAGGCCATGGCCCTGTAGTGAGCCGTGGCTCAGGGGTTGGAGACCCCTGTTTTACAGTGTCCCCAGTCACATGATCACAATTCAGTCACTTGGCAATCAGCACACATTTACAATAGTTGGAGCATCTGACAGTTACGTAATCACCATTTGTGATCTTCATAGTCAGCTTCCAGCAAACTCACTCAATGGGGAGACCAACAAGGAATTCTAAGTCATGGTAATGTTCACTTAACTGCAAGTGGAACTAACAATATAAATTGGGTACAGTCACATGCCATTTCACTCTACAGCCATGTCACTTAGCGATGGAGTTGCAATCTTCTTGGCATTTTTTGGTAATGGTTTCTCATTATTTTTTTCTATGAAAATATGCATCTCTTTTATTCAGAACCAGTCCCCATTTGCTTAAACCACTCTCCCTCACAGCTGAAACACATAATAGTCAACAGTCATTTATTTTTCCTCCCCACAGAATCAACTATCTCATTGCAGATTTATAAGTCGGTATATAAGCGGTATATAAGTCCACTGCTATTTATCTACACAACTGTCTTCTTCACTCTCCTTCTTTCACACACATATACCCAGGCAGGAGGGGAAAAAAAATAATCAATGATTTTTTAATTTTTTTTTTAAAAAATAGATTTTTAAAACTTAAATCGGATTTCTTTTTATTTAAATCAATTTCTTTTATTTTTATCAAATTTATTTTAATAAAATGCTTTTGGAATAAAAAAATCTATCTAAAGATAGTTTTCTATTTAAGATACATTAATATTTTAGCTTATTTAGCATGAAACAGAGCTTAGTTATGTAGCATGAGGCTGTATATTCTGCAATATTGGGACAGTTGGTGAATCAACAGTGGGTCAGAGGAGAAGCTGCTGCGGGACAAAGATGACAGTTGCTCTTTAAAAATTATGATTTAAATCGAGTTGATTTAAATCAGGGCCTTTTTACTAGTGATTTAAATCGAGTTGATTTAAATAAAACCCACCCTGAACCCAGGTCTGCAATCTTTTCTTTACTGACTCCAGGCTTAGCCAAACACTGTTGTCCTCTGTAGATCTTCAAACCTAACTCCCACAACTATTTACTTTAAACTGTATCCTTGACTCCCCAAGTCCATTTTACACTTCTTTCTCCTCTTCTGCTATTAAGACTGTGAAATAAATATTCATTTGCAGTTCAAAGCTCTTCAGAGAAGGCAGTCCTCTGGTTTTGACTGCAAGAACTCGTTAATTTAAAGGATCAAGGAGCAAAAACATAGATATTTGCTTACAATGGAAATCACACTGAAGTGCTGATTTGAAAAGATTTTTGCTTTTCTATAAGTAAATGCACACTGACTGAAATCCAACATTGCATTTTACTGGAAATAATACAATAAGGGCACCCAATATCTGAACTTATCTAACTTAAATTTATTATTTCTACTGCAACAAATAACATAAAGAAAAAAGCTTACTTTATTTACATACCTTTCAATTCAGCCTTGTGGCCTGGTTTTGAACTCTCACAAGCTATACATTTAGTTGCATCTGCTTTGTTTTGTACTAAGCAGGTTTCACAGTCCCAGCTTCCCTCTGGTTTCTTGAATTTGTCTAAATTCAAAAATCCTCCAGAAAGAGTAGGTAAAGATGAAGCACTGCCACTGGCTACAGGTACTGAACTCCCTAAGTAATAAACAAAATGATGTAAAGCAACGATTAACAAAAGGCACATTCCAGAAAACTGCTAATATAAAATAAACAAGTTTAATAGCTGCTTCATAGGAATAAATATTACAAATACCTCTTGAGCATAGAATCAATAGTCATAATTTTAAATGCAAATTAGTTTTCCAGATTTGTTACAATAAAATACAAGGAAAAGTTAGGAAAAATTACTTATACCCTGTTTCCCTGAATATAAGACTTCCCCGGCTAATAAGTCCAATCGGGCTTTTGAGTGCAGGTGCTAAAATAAGCCCTCCCCAAAAATATTGCAACACAGCAGCAGCCATGCTCGCTGCCTCCTGCACCTCAATAATAAGACCTCCCCAAATATAAGGCCAAGTGCTTATTTCGGGGAGGGGGGGGGCAAAAGAAAATAAGACCCTGTCTTATTTTCGGGGAAACACAGGACAAACTTAAACTCCTGCAGAATAGGTGGTGCCAAGCTATCTAATAAACACAGATGTTTTGCTTTACTGTCAAAATAAAAATCCAGAGTGAATCTACAATTCTTGAGAAACTGGCTAACATATTAACTAAGGAACTCTTAGAGGAGGAACAAGTCTTATGTCCAATTTCAACTGGGCAATGATTTCGCAAGATGAATTCAGAATAAAAATATTAAAGAAACATTAAGAATCACTTAACAGAGGTTTTCCTTTCAGTTTTCTCAGCTATGCCTCTAATACATGAAATTATTACCTGATTATCACCTTTGTCCTGCTAATTATCTGTAGCTGTACACCACTGCCTATCTATCTGGCAGTGTAATAAAATCTTGTATTATAATTAAACATAGGCATGAATAAACATGGTCATAATAAGGGCAAATAATAACTACAATTCTAAAAGCAGGCTACACATATTTTTAACATTAAAATATTATAGTATATTTTCAGTGGTGTCCTAGGCTTTATTTTTTAAATAAATTACTTAATAGTGTAGTCTTGTACATGTTTCAGAAGAAAGTTCCATGTAACTCAGTGTTGTTTTACTTTGCTGAAACTGTGTTTAGGATTCTAACTTGGGGCAGATACTTTTTTCTGATACAATTTTCAAATAGTGCAAACTCACCTGGTTTGTCTGATTGACAGGCCACGCACTGGTTGTTCTCTTCCAGATTTGACACTAAGCACACAGAACACTCCCAAGCACCTTTCGGCTTTTTGAATTTGTCTCCAAATCCTAAAGTGTTTGTAACATTAGTAGAACTAGAAGAGGAAGACACTGTTGTGGTTGCATTGTCTGTGACAAAAGGCAACACCAGAGCTTGTTTTACTCCTGTTCCAGGTTTTGGTGTTTCACAGGCCACACATTTAGCGGCTTCTGATTTGTTCTGGACCAAACAGGTATCACAGTCCCAAGTTCCAACTCCTGCCTTAAACTTATATCCAAACCCCTGTGCTTCTGTTGAAGAAACTGATTTGATGGTGATGTTCTGAGTCAAAATCTCAGTCTGTTTAGTACCACTGGGTGTTGGCACTTTTGTAATTTGACAGGGTGTACATTTGTTTTCTGCCAACTTGTTCTGTGTAAGAGAGGTGTCATGTGGCCAATTCGTTGGCATTTGCTTCATAGGATCTCCAAGTCCTGAAACAGCTCCAGAAAAATTACTTATTGCAGGCCTTGTGTAAACTTCTGTACTTGTTTCAACATATGGTCTGACTGATGATGAGGATGTTGATAGACTCGTTGGGGAAGCAAAATCTAAGACAAAAAAACCAGCATTAAGTTTTCAGCAAAAATTCTTTTGAAACAAACTATTTTAAATCTACCAACATTTTAATAACAACATGTACGGTGCTTCTCCAAAAATAAGAAATTTTCTTTTGACCCCCGAAATAAGCATTTGGCTTTATTTTTGGAGGTCTTATTATTTTTGAGGCTCAGGAGGTGGCGAACGTGGTCACCTCATGGCTGCTGCTATGTTGCAATATTTTCAGGGAGGGCTTATTTTGGGGGGAGGGCTTGTTTTAGCCCGTGCGCTCAAAAGCCCGATTGGACTTATTATCCGGGGAGGTCTTATTTTCAGGGAAACAGAGTACTTATTAAATCCCCTAAATCAGTGGTCCCCAACCTTTTTATCGCCGCGGACCAGTCAGCCTTTGATAATTTTACCGTGGCCCGCTGAGCGCGCGCAGGGGTGGGGGGGGCATTGTTCGCGACGACACATTGATTGTTTATATATCAGATTGTTTTGATTAAAGGCGCAGGAACACCGGGGAGACGTCCGGATATACTTAAATATTGATAAAATGTGAGGGGGTGTACTCACTTCGGTGATATCTATCCATCCATGTCTGTCTCTGTCTCTGTCTCTCTCTCTCTCTCTGTATGTATGTGTGTATGCGTGTATGTGTATATATCCTCTATCTATCATCTATCTATCTATTTATCTATTTATCCATCCATCCATCCATCCATCCATCCATCCCTCTCTATCTATCAATCACCTATCCACCATCTATCTATCTATTCT